ATAGTTGAGGTTTAAATTTAAATTTGATAGCTTTTGTAGTTTGGCGACAAACCATAATTTAGTCGTCAAATCTTACTGCGGTAACTTTTTTCCGCATCCGATAATTTTAATTGTAGAATTATTTATATTATATAAATTATAGAATATTATTGTATATTTATTTTTTTTATAAAAATTATGTTTTAAAATATTTTATTTATTACAAATTATGTAAGATCACTTTAAAATTATATAATGTTTCATTCTGTATGTCATATTGATTTACTGCTAGCAGGTTAATATGACGCAAATAATTTTATTTTTAGCTTGCGAAATTTTAGCAACATGTTTTTCTAATTAATTAATATTTAGTATATTTTTATTTGATTTGAAAATTAACAGAAACAATGAATCAAATACTTTTTATTCATAATATTTATCAAGGCTGTAATTGTATTAATATAATATGTGTACATTATTCAGGTGTTTATCATTATTGGTTAAAATTATAACTATATTTTTATATAAATTTTATAATCGTGAACATTGCACAATTATTAATTACATCATAAGACTACAGTAGACATCAAATTTACAATAACAATAATAACATTAATTACCAAGATTGTATTATTAATTGATTTTAAAATTAGTTTTCATTTGTATTGACTGCAACGGCACTCACATAACACATGCATAAAATACAGGTATATATAAGCATGGTTAGATCTCACTGCTACAACAATTCAAAAACAAAGTTAAAACTTTTATTTTCAAATTAACAAGTTAACTTTTTTTACCCAAATAATCATGAGACTGTTCATCATAGCGTCGTGTATGTTGGTGGCTGTTCAGGTATAATTTTTATATTTTTAAATCTTGTTAAATCAGAATATTAAATACTTTCAAAAATTTGTACAAATAAAAATTAATATACCCTATGGCATATTAATACCTGTATCATTTACTTATGTATGTTATACAGTATTATGCGTGCTATATTTTATATTTATTTTATTGTAAAACTATTTATTTTTAATAATTACTGTTTATTTTTTCATATCTCTTGAGACTATACAAAAACAAGGACTTTAACTTCGCTTTCATACTACTATAATAGTGATAAATAGTATTTTGCAGTCAAATGAAAGCAGAGTTAAAGGCCTCGTTTTGTATAATCATAAGAGAATAGTCTAATTAAAAATCTATACCAACCCCAGGGACTGAGTATTCGTGGGTCCGTCAGTCCCATACTCACCGGTGCCGACGATATTACGGATACAGTCGGGGATTTCGGAAACGAAGACCTGGGGGATGCCTCGGGAACCTTCGTAGATGTTGATGACCAGGGTAAAGATGCACTCACAGATGGCTTTAACGAGGGTGCTCAAGGTATCAAGGTCAAGGTCAAGGTCAAGGTCTGGGTCCCCTAGAAAGTGAGATTGACGAGGAGACTGGACTACCCCTGACTGAAGTCTATGAAGAGGTGCAAGATGAGTTAGGAAATGTTATTGACACAGTTGAGGACATACCTTGCCCAGTTCCCGACGCTACCAATGCTGTACAAGGTGTTGTAGACGATGGTACCGGTGTCGTTGATGGTGTTATTGGTACGGCTAATGATGCACTGACTGAATAAGAATTTTGATCATGATAATAAAATTGTATTTGATTTATATGTTTTAATTTTGCTTATTTATAATAAGAGTACAGTATGTGATTATATTCACAACAATTATCAATTATATGCACATACTGTTTAAATTATGTTATTTATTGAAATTCACATGTTCAATTTAGTACTCAATTTTAGAATTGAATTTTATTATTAATTATTATATGCAGTACATCATGATTAAAATCACTTAGTTTGGTTAGTGAGTATTAATCAAAAATATTATAATGTATAACAAGGTGAATTTGTCTAAAATATTTTTTAGACAATAATACTATTATTAATATAGTTTTATAAACCAATAATATCTGAGTCTACCTGCTAACGACTATACAATAATCTAAAACATGTTAAATAATTGTACAATATTTCATAAATATTACAAAGTTAAT